AGTTTTGGTTATAAACAAACAAATCGTCAAAGAAATAATATGAAATTACCACCACAGGACTTTAACAATTATGACGATGAACCGTCTATGAATTTTAGTCAACTAAATAGAAAACGACCACGAGAGTATGAAAAAAATTTGGGAAAATTATTTTTCGATAATTTTTTGTTCTTAATAGGTCACATAGTCCGAAGTTCAATAAAGCAAAAAAATTAAAACAAGATGATAATAATACAGTTAATTCAAATTCTTCAAATTTTCATGTGGTAAGAAATATTTTCTTTTCATTAAGTACATTTCGTTTATGAAACGAGATATTTATCTTGAAAATAAGTAGATGAACACATGTAATGATACATGAACATAGAAATTTGATCATTTCAAAGGAAAAGTTCGGAATATATTAATCAATTTGCTTTCCGCGTGTTCTAGCTGTTGTTTGCATGCTTAGAATTCATTCTCTCAATCGAAGTGTATATAAGAAGAAAACAATAGCATTATTAATGTATGATCTTATTCTATAAAAGAGAAATAATTAATTGAGAATAATCTATATCTGTTTTAATTAAAAAGTATAAATTAAATTCTACTTCATTTCATCATTATTCACACAATAATTCTCTAGAATAAAAATTCTAAAAAGTTTTTATTATATGTTTTTAGTTAGAAAGTGAACTTTTAAATCATTATTCTACAGCAAAACAACTTGATTCTACCTATACATTAAAATGGAAACTTTGCCAAGATCTTTTTGCAATGTTTATTGGAATTGTTCCAAGTAAAATAAATGAAATTAATTTTATAATCTTTATCTTTATAAAAAAATTGTTTTTAGATTTAGGTGTTTATTTAGTTGGATCAAGTGCAAATGGATTTGCTACTGAAGATACTGATGCCGATATATGTATTGTTATTTCATCTTATCCTGTAAATAAATAAAATATAAAAAACAAAAAGTAATTTTATATAATTCTTCTACGTTTTTAGATTGATCAAAAACGTGAAGCAGTTAAATTTCTTGAAATAGTTCGACGTGCATTACGAAAAAAAATATGTTCGTATTTTCTACTTTAATTTTCTTTCGTATTGAATACTGTTTCTTGTTATTTAGTTGCTGGTTCATGTGATTTAATACGTGCTCGTGTACCTATTCTACGATTTACTGATTATGCCACGTATGATATTTTGTATTGAATATTTTGTTGTTTATAAATATTTCTATATGCTTTTTAGTCGATTAAGATGTGATGTAAACATTAATAACTCAACTGGTATTCGAAATACAGATCTATTACGTTTTTATTCAGAAACAGATGAACGAGTGGCTCCACTTGGTTAGTACTTTAATTTGTTCATCAACATATCTTTTGTAGAACTCACGTAAATTTTCGAAGAAAAATATTGAGTGTAAGTTTTAAGTTCAAGTTTTCCGACTTAGCAACTAATGTCAAAGATCATTGGGTACAAATCAAGGTAGTCGCTCATTCTTGGCCATTCTAATGGCTTCAAATAGCCTGAAATAGGAGGGTCTGAGCATAGTTCAGACTATCTTAAAATGGCTGAGAAAATCAGAGATGGTGTATCTCTATAATTTTAATATATAAATAATCGTTTGTTTTTCTCTAGTCTTAACACTCAAATCATGGGCAAAATTTCATAATGTAGGGCAAAAGATATAAATCTTATTTTATATATATATGAAATATTTTATTTTATTTTTAATACTAGATTAATGATGCCAGTCAAAAAACATTATCAAGCTATTCTATCACATTAATGTGTCTCTTCTATCTACAAGGTAATCAATTATTTAATTTATTTATTTTTGAAATTATTTGAGAATTATTTTAGGTATTGCAAAACCATCAGTTGTACCTGTTTGGCAAGCGCTTTTACCAGTATGTTGAATAGTATCACTACCGATAAAAACAAATTAAATAATTTTTTTTTTAAGAATCGTTTTGATGTTAATATACCTGTTTCCCGATTAAAACGAACTGATGAACCAAAATTAATTTGGAGC